CCTATCCCTTATTTTTACAGTTTGTAATCCAGTGTCCTTCCTATTTACTTTTAGCATCCAGGCCCTGAGGAAGTATTAGGCCCCTGAAACACAATGGATTTTTTCTTAACCTCCTGTTAGGGAAAATATTGAAATACTGGATACTATAATTTTGGTGCTCTCATTTTCTCCACACTTGTCAGCAAGTGTCAAGTATATAAAATATAATTTATATTGGAGGACAAATCATGGTACTTCCCTCTGCCATAGGCTGTGATTAGAGAAGTGTTTCGTTTCAGATTTATTTATTAAAGTGATATCAAATCTTAGAATGTTTTTTAGTAAAATACCAAATGTGTCTATACTTACCTGCTCCGTGCAATGCTTTTGCACAGAGCTGCCCCGATTCTCCACTTCTAGGGTTCCCTGCCAGTGCTCCAGGCCCTTCCTCTTTGGTGGATGCTCCCATGGAAAGCTACTTTCTATGGGGGCACCATGCGAGATCGCTCCCAACCCGCCCTGTCTGCGTCCATTGATACAGAGCGGTTGGCTCACCCCCGCCTTCTCGCCCCCATGTCACATCATATGATTGACAGAAGCAGAAGCCAATGGCTCCCCCAACTATCAATCTGCCCAATAAGCAGGCAGACAGTGGCTAGAGCTGCTGCTCTCTTGCACATCACTGGATTGGATCGGGCTCAAGTACGAAGAGGGGGGCTGGGGGGGCAGCTGCAGCACAGAAGGTTTTTTACCTTAATGCATACAATGCATTAAATTGAAAAACATTAAGGATTTAGAAACATTTTTAGGTCAATCTTTTCGTTTTGTCATATTCGTTAGAATGATTCCTTTTCAGAATTTGTTTTTATATATTTGGATTCCTGTCATATATTTGTTGTTCTGAATCTATTTTTGGGAAGTTATTTCAGAAGATTCACATTCATTCGTTATGTCCTTATGTTATTTTAGTGACTTGCATGTGACTTGCTACTTGCTTGCGACTTTGACGTTTTTCTTGACTTTGGCCAATCATAACAAAACAATGTGTAAAACATATTATAGAACTTACAAAACCCTCTGAAGTCGCAAATAAATAAACAAATGAATACAAATTAATTTGTTGTTTTTGTTATAATTTATTTTGGATTCATTGAAATCCTTTACTATTGTGATTTGAGGACTCGGATATATCCGAAAATGTTGTCCGAATTTCAATTCGTAACTAAATGAATAGCACATGCCTAGCTGTGTTCGCAGGTCTGAATGGGAAGCAGATAGCCTCCATCTGTCACTGACTATGGACTCTGATTTGGCTGATGTCTGCATGGTGAAGTATCACCACCAAGGGCCACCACTAGGGCCAGTGCAAGGATTTTTTCTGTTCAGGTGAAGATGCAATCTAAGGTCCCTAACTCACATTCATACATACACATACTAGGGCCAATTTAAACAGGATCCAATTAACCTACCAGCATGTCTTTTGAGCTTCATCCATCCTGACCTCCTACTCCGCCCGCAGCCCCCCGGACTGACTCCTCCAGCTGGGTGCACATCTCCATCCTGCCTGACAGTGTGCCCTGCCCCCTCCTGGCACACATGGGGATCTGCCCACCGCTCTGCCCACCTCTACATCATTGGATCTGCTCTGGCAGCGGTATACATTCATCTTCCCCAAGCCTACTGCTCTCTCTGGCTATCTCACTCTCACAGCAGCCTACTAAACAGCAAACATACTAAAACTTCCATGCTGCGATCTCTCTCCTATGGGGTGCAGCATGGAAGTTTTAGTTTGCCTGCTGGCGGGAAAGTTATTTTAAAAATCCAAATCCCCAGCGAGTGGCTGAGGATCCCGCTTTTACTGCCCACCCCATACTGGCACCTTTAGGCAGCTGCCTAAGCTGCTTTGTCCTGGTGCTGGCCCTAGCCACCACCCAAATGTATCTTATTAGTAATAGCCCGCAAAGCAAATGTCCCTCAGCTTTACAACCCAATCCTTCCATGCATGGCATCCAAAATATATTATATGTTAAAGCAATGACATCATTGCTTCATCTATGACAGTGGTCTCCAAACTGCGACCCGCAGGCCCTTTGCTAGCCTTTCTCTGGCCTGTGGGTCACTATTCCTCGCAAACATATGAGGCATTATTCCTCCCACTGTCAACAACGTTTAGGCACCCTTCCTTCCACTGACACCAGTAGTTGGACATTATCCTTCCCACTGACACCAATGAGGGGGCACTATTTCTTCCACTGACACCAATGATTGGATGCTATTCTTCCCACCGATATCAGTGATGAGACATTATCCCTCCTTCGATTAACCACATGTGCTTTATAATTTTTTTTGCTCCTACTGACCACCATGCCTGAGGAATTGTTTATGCCCACAGATGCTGGGGCATTTTCTACTGCAACTGGTCACAGACCGGGCCCCCAAAAGTCTGAATTAAACTGGCCCTTTGCTTAGAAAGTCTGGAGATCTCCTGATCTATAACATGCACTTTTGCACTTAAAGTAAATTATTATTATTTTTTTTTGTAAAATAACAAACACGCTATACTTACCTACTGTGTTCTTGGATCCCCCACAGGCTCTTCTGGCCTCTCCCTCCTGTTGGGTGTCCCAAAGCACGCAGCTTACTATGGGGGCATTGGCCCCCCGCCCCCTCTATTTCCTCATTGGCTAACTGGCTGTGATTGACAGCAACAGGAGCCAATGGTTTCCGCTTACTGTCTCAGCCAACGAGGAAGCAGAGATCCAGGACAGCCGAGGCTGTTGTGCACATTAATGGTTCGCAATGGGGCTCAGGTAAGTAATGAGGGGGCTGAGAGCACTTCTGCACACAGAAGGTTTTTTACCTTCACGCATAGAGTGCATGAAGGTAAAAAAACCTTGAGCCTTTACAACTACTTTAACAGCAGAAAAATCACTACACTCCAAGATGTTACGTGTTGTAGAAGTAGAACAGAAAGCATTATTGCCCAGTTGAAAAGAGACAGAGAGTGTAGATGGGTGCTGTTTAATAGGGCTATCTACAGAAAACACAATTTTACAAGAGAAAAATACTACACTCCAAATATATTACATATTGCAAAAGTAGAATGGAAAGTGTTAATGGACATTGGAAAGGGACAGAGAGTGCAGATATGTGATTGTCTGGGCAGGGCTGTGGAACGGACAGGTAGGCCTAGTGGCAGGGTAACGCACTGGCTGACGACAACCACCACCAACAGACCGAAGTACCTCAGGGCGCAGAGTCTAAGTCCCAGGCTGCCCTTCACCAGGGCCCCTGATGGTGGGGATGGACTTGACGCAGCCAGGAACCAGGTCGCGGCCCCCGAGACACCCCGGCTGTGGTAATGGCCGCCGCCAATGGCGTGTAGCTGGTGAGAATGACAATAGCGTAGTCAGGCAAGCCGGGTCAACAACAACGGGACAAAACAGTACAGAACAGTAGACAGAGAATCACAGGTCACGGGCCGGGTTCAGCAACGGAGGGTCAGATCGAAGGAAAACACAGAGAATGGTCTTAGTCACAAGCCGAGTCAGAATACCAGAAGAGTCACGAGCGTATACACAGAGCTGTAGCAAGACCAAGACACAAGTGCAAAGAGCATGTGCGGATCACAGGCTTATATGTACTCACACCCCTCTGGGGGATGGACCTCAGAGACCTGAAGGCATAAAAGCTTCCCACCATGCTCAGCAGAAATCCAAGATGGATGCCAGCACATGGAGTAACATAACCTCTGGGAAAAGGTAGGACCTTGACAGTGATGTTCAAAGGAGCCACCTATAGCAGATGTGTCAGCACATATGCAAAGTCTAACATATCTTATGGACACATCTCCCTGCACTGAATGATAATTACAACAGGTTAGCATGACTTTGTATTCCTATTTCGGTGGCTCATTAGATGCTCTTGGAAAACAGACAGTCAGAACTGTTTTTATTTAGTTTTTGGGCTCACCTACCTTTCTCCATTTACAGCACTACCTGCCTGGAGTTTGCATGTTCTCCCCATTCCTTTGTGGGTTTCCTCCGGGTATTCCGCTTTTCTTCAAAGACATGCTGGTAGCTTATTTGGCCCTGCCTAAATTAAATCTAGTATGTGTATGTACAAATGTGATTTAAGGACTCTAGATTGTAAGCTCCTTGAGGTCAGGGACTGATGTGAATGTACAATATATATAAAGCATTGCCTACATTGATGGCGCTACAGTGACTTAAAAAAGTATTTATACCCCCTGAAATTTTCCATATTATGTCATGTTACTGCCAAAAATAAGTTGCTGGGAAGATGGATGGAACCAAATACAGGGCAATCTTAGAAGAAAATCTGTTAGTGTCTGCAAAAGTCTTCAGACTGGGGCGGAACTTGGACTATATTACAAAGAAGAATGGGCAAAAATGTCCCTCTCTAGATGTGCAAAGCTGATAGAGACATTCTCAACAAGACCTGCAGCTTAAATTGCAGCGAAAGGTGGTTCTACAAAGTATTGACTCCGGGGGGCTGAATACAAATGCACACCACACTTTTCAGGTATTTATTTGTAAAAAATTTTGAAAACCATTTCTCATTCTCCTTCCACTTATGGCCACTTTGTGTTGGTCTATCCCATAAAATCCCAATAAAATACATTTATGTTTTTGGCTGTAACATGACATTTGGAAAATTTCAAAGGGTATGAGTACTTTTTCAAGGCATTGTATATAAGTACCTGTAAATAAATAATTATTACAGCATCATTATCACAGAGGCTTTAGGTTTGGCCTTCAAAAAATAATAAATTATCCTGGCGCCAAATACTTGATATAAAATAAAAAATAGACTCTGCATTGCTGGTTTTTGTTGGACCTGTAGGGCTCAGCTTTGAGACAAACAAGCAGAGTCTATAAGAAGTGTTCAGTAAATACGGATACATCTGTGAGGTGGTTGTGGTGAAGGATCGGGAGACCAAGAGATCCCATGGCTTTGGTTTCGTCACCTTTGAAAATTGTGACGATGTGAAGGATGCCATGGAGGGGATGAATGGAAAGTCCATGGATGGCCGTCAAATTCGAGTTGATCAGGCTGGAAGGTCCTCCAGCGACAGGAGAGGAGCCTATAGAGATGGCTCATCTGGAGGAAGAGGATTCTTCCGTGGAGGCCGAGACCGTGGTGGTGGTGATCGTGGTTTTGGAAGCAGCTGGTTTGATAACAGGAGTGGTGGCTATGGTGGTGGATCCCAAGAATATTATGGCAGTGGCAGGAGTCCAGGAAGTTATGGGGATCGCTCCTACAGAGATGGTTATGACAGCTATGCCTCACATGAGTAAAATACCTTCCTGACTCAAGATCGTCCTTCCAATGGCTGTATTTATAAAGATTTTTGGAGCTTCGCTGAATCAAAGTGTAGTATGTCAACTTGTGTTCACTTTTTTTTATATACATTTGGTTAATCTTGACGGCCTCACTGGTAGAATGCGAACAGCTGTTCAAAGGTTGTTATCTTTGGGGTACACTTATGTTTACTTTTTCTTTCATACTTTTCTATTGAGGCTGCAGATACGTGAAGCTTTGTAAATGAGCAGATTCATGCAGCAGTAAATGGTGTTGCACAGCAGAATGGAGTGATGCTTTTTGCATTCGCATCCCTGTAAATGGGTATGTCTCCTACTACAGCGTGGTCTTACTAGATCTTATTTTGAGCTCTTGTTTTGAAAATACTGTTTTAGTGTGACTATGTAGTGCAGAGCCTGGCTGTGCTGCAATCAACAGCTGTACCACCTTGATATAACTAAAGTGAACAAATGTCACAAGATATTCTTAAAATGTTTGTTTGTATTGTCCTTTCTTTATACAAATAGTTAATTTGAATACTGTACTGAAGTGGTTACAGAATTGTATTTACTTTCACGCTTCACGAAATATTAAAAGACAGTCTGAAAGAAAATAAATAAATAAATAAATAAAAATAAATAATAAAGAATAAAATTGGTGTTTGATTAATATTTACCCCTCCAGGGGTTTTAGGTTTGGCCTACCTTAACAAATAAACGTGTCACTTGTGATGATAGATACATAGATAGATAATGTAAGTCTGATTGTATTTTATATTTATTGGCATGTTTTTGTTCTCTTTATCCATAGGGTCTACCTTGTTATTCATGATATTAAACAAATATAGATGTCACTTATGATCTAAATACAATCTCTGATATTCTTCAGAGACTCAATCTGTTTACAGATCTGTAGTTACATTCAACATTCTAACACTTTGGAAGTCAAGAGTCTCCAATCTTGTATAGCGTATGTAATAGACTGTGGTCTAAGCACCCTTATCTCCACAACACAGGTTTTCTGGAATTATAGAGGTGTTGACATATTTGTTTGTGTCTCCAAGGACCCTACAGCCGCTATCAGATGGGTTCCCATAATAAACAAAGAGTAGGCTACATTATCCATAGCGTATGCTCATGCCGTGTGCAATATATCAGGCCATTGCCTTGCTGCTATCCTGAGACTTCTCTGGTCCAGCATGAAACCCGATGATCGACAGAGCTTCCAAAGACATAAAAACGCCATTAAAGCTTGATAACACTTACTATTAGTGTATATATTAATGTCTAGTGTGATGTATTGTGAGTCTCATCTTATACGACCATTGCATCTCTTTCCAGAGTTTTCTTGGCTCTAAATGGGACATAAAAATTTCCTGAGTCTTCAATTTTACTTTTAAAAGGACTTTTACTTTCATAAGGTCAAAATGGTGCACAGGGTTATGTTAAAACCCATTTCCGGACAAGTCTAAATTTTTATCTAAAATACTCTGTCACCCCTGCGTAGACCCCCTTTTTTTTGTACTAGTGTTAAACCGCTAAATCATTTTTACATGACTCAGGAGGTGTCCCCATGCAGAAGTCCCCTCTGTGGTTCCAAGGCTCTCCCGCTTCTCATGGGAAACCCCTAGGATAACGAATGACAGCAGATTCAGAAACATCCATTCCTCCATATCCTTTGCACAGAATTAACTCAAAAGCACTCAGCTGTAAACACTTCTGGGTTCTGAGGTATCAAACCCTAGCAGCTGTAGCCGTGTAAACTGTGGATTGGGGACTGTTTGTCCATGGGTGCACGGGACAAATCAAGCTTCTAGCCGACCTACATTTGTAAATGAACACAGGCCAACATATATTGGGTATTGCCAAACACACCAGAGTAAGAGGAATTAATCTAGGGCTATCTTTTATGGAAAGCTCTAAACCACAGGTGTCCAAAACAAGGCCTGCGGGACGAATCCGGCCCTCCAGGCCATTTCATGTGGCCCATGCATCTCTCCTGCAGGTACCCCCTTATCTTTGCCTCCACCTTGTTTTAGCAGTTGGCAGTAGAGAGGAGAATAGAACTCCTCTGTCAAATCCAGCACCTCTCAGTGCAGCTGCAGCACCCTCTCATCTCTGCCTCCCCTGGTCTCAGCATTCAGCAGACTCTGGTAACTGACTCCATTCCTCCTCTGATCCTCCTCCAGACCCTGCGCTTTCTGCTTTCCAACTCTGCCCCCAAAGGGGGTGCACAGTGATGTTAGGGAGGGTGTGGGATTCATGACATCTGTTGTAATGGGGGTGGGGTGCTCTGGACATGTAGTCTTACAGATACAACCACCCCTTTGAGGGCAACCATAATGCTGATGCGGCCCACGATGAAATGGAGTTTGACACCCCTGCTCTAAGCTGATGAACTGTAAAAGTTTTTAAAGCATCACCTATTAATAATTTGGATACTGTCATTTTTTGCCATTTCACTGGTGTTTTTAAAGGGTTGACATATTTGTTACCTATTTTTTCACCCAACTTACCTTGCAATGTGCTGCCAGCCTTGGATTTTTGTATACAACCCACCAACAGATTTTTGGTTCATGGGCTACGCAAAAAGTGCACTTATCCTTTAAAATAACTCCAGTGTGCTTGAAAAAATAGGGGCTTACACCAGTAAAGCCAAAGAACCTGCAAACATGCCATCATGGATTTCTAGTTCCCTCAAATACCTGGGACATCTCCGGGCACCTAAAAGGAAATGTGGCTCATAGGATAAAACAAAAAACAGTTGTAGATACTTCTTGTCCCCATGTAATTCTTTCTCTCCATTTTTCTTTCTCTTTGTTGCCTTCCATCTATTAGATCTTCTTCCTGTTTTCTGCCTTTTTTAGATATGAGCCATCAGTCATTGGGTTTTTTGCAGACAGCAGCCCTAGGTCAATAAAACAGGGACCTCAGAAGGATAACCTTCATCCTCACTGCTTTCACCACACTGCATATTACTAAGTCATGTAGGCAGAAGAAGATACCTGGGAAAGCATTTTTACTGGTATCAAAGGCAATACGTATTAGTTTTGTACATATGTTCTTTTTTTTTATTATGGTCAAAGTTAAAAAATATAACTAACCAGGACTGGACAATGAATGCAAAGCAACATACTTATGATGTCATCTTTCTCCTCCTCTCAGCATGCTTTTTTTTGTGAGCACATGTGCAGATCACGATATTTTAAAACAACATAAATCCCAAACTGGTTTAGAGGCACTCACGGGTCTTGCAGAGGTGGAAGATCAAAAACAGTTAATATATATTATAATTAGAGATGAGCGAATCGAAGTAGGCGAAGTGGAATTCGCTTCGAATATTAGAAAAATTTCGATTCGCGCCGAATCCGAAAATAAGCAGACTTCGGATGCGTGAATCGAAATTTTTCCTAAAATGGGCGGCGACATGTGCGGTGACGGAGCGGGGATGTCTGGGAAGGCGCGCAGACAAGGCGCGCTGACCCATAATGCATTCATTCATGACATGTGATCGCATTAGCCAATCAGCAGCCAGCCAGCCAGCACTGTGTAATGGTCGAGCTATAAATGGTGGCCATTTTAGAATTCTCCATTTGCCTCCAGTCATTCAACAGAGGCAGACCTGGCTGTATTCAGGGAGATAGTTAGGGACACAGAAACGTTACTTAGGGACATAGAAACGTTAGTTAGGGACACAGAAACGTTACTTAGGGCCACAGAAACGTTACTTAGGGACACAGAAACGTTACTTAGGGCGACAGAAACTTTACTTAGGGACACAGAAACGTTACTTAGGGCCACAGAAACGTTACTTAGGGCCACAGAATCGTTACTTAGGGCCACAGAAACGTTACTTAGGGCCACAGAAACGTTACTTAGGGCCACAGAATTGTTACTTAGGGACAGACACAGAATTGTTGCTGAGGGACACAGAATTGTTACTGAGGGCTACAGAACTGTTACTTAGGGCCACAGAAACGTTACTTAGGGCCACAGAATTGTTACTTAGGGACAGACACAGAATTGTTACTGAGGGAAACAGAATTGTTACTGAGGGCCACAGAACTGTTACATAGGGCCACAGAAACGTTACTTAGGGACACAGAATTGTTACTCAGGGACAGACAGAATGGTTACTTAGGGACAGACACAGAATTGTTACTGAGGGACACAGAATCGAATCAGAAACGTTACTTAGGGCCACAGAAACGTTACTTAGGGCCACAGAATTGTTACTTAGGGACAGACACAGAATTGTTACTGAGGGACACAGAATTGTTACTGAGGGCCACAGAACTGTTACTTAGGGCCACAGAAACGTTACTTAGGGCCACAGAATTGTTACTTAGGGACAGACACAGAATTGTTACTGAGGGACACAGAATTGTTACTGAGGGCCACAGAACTGTTACTTAGGGCCACAGAAACGTTACTTAGGGACACAGAATTGTTACTCAGGGACAGACACAGAATTGTTACTTAGGGACAGACACAGAATTGTTACTGAGGGACACAGAATTGTTACTGAGGGCCACAGAACTGTTACTTAGGGCCACAGAAACGTTACTTAGGGCCACAGAATTGTTACTTAGGGACAGACACAGAATTGTTACTGAGGGACAGACACAGAATTGTTACTGAGGGCCACAGAACTGTTACTGAGGGCCACAGAAACGTTACTTAGGGCCACAGAATTGTTACTTAGGGACAGACACAGAATTGTTACTGAGGGACACAGAATTGTTACTGAGGGCCACAGAACTGTTACTTAGGGCCACAGAAACGTTACTTAGGGACACAGAATTGTTACTCAGGGGACAGACACAGAATTGTTACTTAGGGACAGACACAGAATTGTTACTGAGGGACACAGAATCATTACTTAGGGCCACAGAAATGTTACTTAGGGCCACAGAAACGTTACTTAGGGCCACAGAATTGTTACTTAGGGACAGACACAGAATTGTTACTGAGGGACACAGAAATTGTTACTGAGG